CCAAGTGAGATAGCATATCTTTCATGAGGGGGACTGGGATATATTGTGTACACACACAGCATTTATCCCTCAAAAGTCCACACACAGTCTCATAGTTCTGTCTTTTTTCTCTTTGAAGAAGACTGGCGCTGCAACCCGTGGCTTGGCTGGCTCGATGAACCCTCGTGCTAGGTTTTTGTCTATGTATTTGTGCATTTCTTGCACTTCCTGGGGTGTCATGGTGTACAGCTTGGGTTTGGGTAGTTTTGCCCTGAGGATGATTTCGATGGCACAATCTGCCTCAGGGTGGGGGAGGGCAGAATGTTGCATTCTGTCTCGCTGAATACTTCTGCGAGGTCCTGATATTCCCCTGGGATCTGTTCGGTCTCTAGGATTTCATCAGACGTGGCTCCCAGATGTTCTGGTGTGCTCTTTTGGGGGGTTCCCTACATGGGTGGTGTTTCTGCTTGCTGGTGGAAAAGGGGTTGGGGCCCCTTTTCTATCCTAAGCCTGCGGGTACCCCCTTGCCACCAAATGGTTGGTCCCCACTTGTCTAGCCAGGAGAGTCCCAGTATGACTGGATCTGTCATTTTGGGGGTTATTATGAATCGATTTATTTCCCAGTGATCCACTAGCTCTAGTCTCACTGGTTCGGACAGGTGGGTGGCATAAGGTCCCCCCATTAGGGAGCCATCGACCTGTTCGAACCAGATTGGGTAGGCCAGTCTTTTTGCTCTGATCCACAGTTTCAGGATTGTGGTCAGGTTGATCAAGCATCTAGTGCAGCCTGAGTCTATTAGGGCTTGAAAATCCCCCTGGCTTCCTGTCTTTGGGGCTGTGAGGTGTATTGGAAAAAGGAAAGGGCGAATTGGTCCTCTCACCATTGGGTCATTTTCGCCCTTGTTGTCACTGTCGTAGGATTCTGGTGACTGGTCATTGTTGCCTTGGATTCCCCCCTTCATTTGGTTGGGGAGGGACTTCTGCGGCCTGGAAAGCCTTCCGGGATGCGTGGTTAGCCCATTTATGGCCGTATTCTCGTTGTGCCCTTGGTAGTAGCTCTGGCCTTGGTCTTGGGGTTGGGGTCATGCACACGGATTCCATATGGCCCATCCCCTTGCATCTGTAGTATTTCAGTGGACTTTGAGTGAGGGCTGGTCTTAGGGTCCGCTGTGGTGCCCTGTTGGCTGGATAGTTTCAGGTCAGGTTGACCTCTCTCTTTTGTGTCTGGTTGCTTTCTCATGTCATTGGCATGCAGCCCGCTGTTGACTTTTATTGCTACCCGCAACCACTCAGAGAGTCAGTTTGGGATGTCGCGGTAGGCAGTTACTTGGGCAATCTGCTGGTCCAGACTTGTTCTGAAAAAATACATTAACAGATGCTTTGGTAAAGGTAGCCTTCCAATGACTCTCCTAAATTCGCGGATGTGCTCTTTGATGGGGCAGCCCCTTTGCTTTAGGTTGTTGAGCTCATCTTCCGCATATAGGTCCTCCTCTACCTCCTCAAATCTGGCCTCTAGCAGTCGTAGGGAGTCATCTACGCCTTGCAGTTGGGGGGCTCTCCTCTTGTGGAGGGCTGCTAGCCATCCCCTCTAGTCCCTCTGTGATAGTATTCACTATGGCTCTGAAGGATGAGTAGAGGTATCCATAGCATTCCAGGTGGGCCTCAGCTGAGTCAAGGAATAGGGCTAACTGGTCTGAGTTCCCATCAAACTTTCTTTTGAATCGGTGCGGTTCAATCAACAGTGCCCTTCCTTCCTCTTGTTGGCCTCTGTGTGCTTGTATTTGATATGTCTAAAGATACTCCTCAGTTCTAGTTCAGAGGGAGGGTGGAGATTGTCTGCCCTGGGCAGCCTGCCTGCTACGTGGGAGAGACACTGGCTTCATCTTCCTTCTAATGAGTGGAGAAGTGGGGCTGCGTTCCCATGTGGTTCTCGTCACCTCAAGAGGATCCACTGCTCTTCCCCTCTCTTTTGGCATGCATAATGGCCTTTCTTTCTGGAGGGTGAGCCAGTCAAATTCCTCCCTCCGTTGCTCTATGGAACTTCCCAAGGGCTCCATTTGGGGCTTTGGGGGCCTGGCTTGATTTCAGTGCAGCATCCCCTCCACTATTCCCAGCTCACTTAGGACCTTTCCCTTTTTCTGGGCATAGGGGTGGAGTGGGGGCTCAGCTTTAGCTGTTTTTAGGGGTTGATTACTTATCTCCTCTTGCTTCGCTCATCTCGGCTTTGATGTCTGACGGCTGCTCTCCAGCTCTGTTCAGATAGCTGGCCTTTTGCCATGGTCTTCTGAGTTCCCCCTCGGCACCCCCGATATTTAAAAGCAAAAGATGGCTGTCTGTAAAGTACCCTAACGATGCCTGCTTCATAATAAGTGATGCAATGTTGTAATACAAAAAGCAGTGATTTATTAACAGCTTCATTAGGCATTCTTCATTAGGCATTTCTTATTCGCAGTCATCTTTTTGCTCTCTTTTTCTGCTTTTGAACTTTGCCCATGTTTCTGTCCTCCCTTCAGCTTGTCATAAATCATGTTATCCAATAGCTTCATTCATTTCAACCCAGGTACTGTAATGTGAGATCCGGCTCCGCCACCGCTCTGCATGGAATGTCAACACAGAGAGTTGACAAGCATTTTGTTTTCTGATATGGCTTATATTACTTATGGCTATCACATATGGGCTGCAAAAATACAAATTATTTTTAAAACAATGAGGTTTTTTATCTTCTTAGTGTCATCTAGAGTTTTCCAGATTTTTGCCACCCAGATATAACAGCATTAATTAACCTAATTAACACTAATATAGAAACTGCTTTGTTGCTCTTCTCTGCACTTTTCAGTCTCAACAGTTTGTAATTTAAAAAATATTTAATGATTTGAAATCATAAGTGGATTGCTACCAGTTTGCACTGGTTCGGGCAAACCAGTAGTGGTATTTTGGCCTTGGTCGCAGAACTGGCAGTGACCCAGGCTGGCCATGCCTCCAAACCGGTTCCCTGATCGCCATTGCTGTTGCCGGCATGTTTTTTAGTAATTTTTTCAATTTATAGTTAAATGTGTATGCATGTGCAGCGTACACAAATTAAACTGGCAGCAACGCTGGCAGAAATCCACCCCTGTTTGAAACCAACCTCAGGTCCCAAATGGCTCAGACGATGAACAATTTGGGTCCCAACTGAAAAATCTGCTAAATGTTTCACTCACGTCACAAATACATCCTCGGGTGCCGAATAAACATAGCTGTGGCGATTTCCCCTGCCACACCATTTTTTGGTGCACATTTATGCGCAGTTAGTCTTGCTTTTGATCATGACCAAATTGGGTGCCATATGAAGTCCTAGAACAAATTATGGTCGGCACCTGAGGTTCCACTGTACTTGATCATTGAATTGCTTTTTAAAACTGAATTATTTTATTACAATTAAATTTTAGGAAATGTTTACTATCTGTTTCCTAATTCAACTGAAAACCACAGGATATTCAACAGATTAACAACTCAATTACTTAAATATTATAGTTCTGGAGAAACATTGTATATGCAGGTTAGATTGGATTAATGACATAATGACATTTGTCTATCACAGACCTCACAACACAGAATTTCCTTGATCTTTATAACGGACCTACCATTTCTCAAAAATCTAAATACTATACTATTTTGGTAGCAGTTGTTCTCTTCTCTAACTTTGTTCACTTTATCCCCTGCCTTGGCTTCTCATGTGCACCTTAAAGAGACCATCTGTTAATTCAATAAGTTGTTTGAAATAACAGCTTGCCCAACCACCTGATTTGTGATAGGAGCCAACAGTTCATGGTATAATTTTGGCAGGGCCTATTTGTAGATAGTAAAAACGTTGGCCTTGACAGGGAAAGGGAAGAGCTATTACAAAAGCAATAAAAAGAGAAACATTGCTTCAGCCAAAAAAAATGAAGGTATGTACACTGTAAGTATTTCTGAGGGATACCCTCATAGTTCAAAATAAATATTAGAAAAGGAGATAAAGCATAATCACATTTGCAAGAATTATGTATTACTATAACCAATCCTAATAAAATTACTGTAGTTGTAGCCTTAATGTGGTGTTGATTTCTTAACCTGATCTACATCTTGTGGTTCATACTATTTCAATTACTGCAAAACTGCTATCCTTAGCCTATTGTCCACAACTAGAGAGATAAATGTTACCTATGAATTATACTTTTGTTGGAAGCGTTGACTTACAGAAAGATGACCAACCATTTCTTTTATGCTTGCTAAGTTTCTTTTAAAATATGATTAAAAGTTATGTTTTAAGGTTACTTA